GNAAGCTGTCGTAGCTGAAACTTATGATGATGTTACAGTCTACTTTAGTGATATAGTTGGATTTACCGAAATTTGTCATACGAGTACAGCTATGCAAGTAGTGGAAATGCTCAATTATTTATATGTTCAGTTTGACAGCCGACTAGAAAATTATCAAGTATATAAAGTAGAAACTATCGGCGATGCTTATATGGTCGTATCTGGTCTACCAAAGAGACTAGACGAAAATCGTCATGCCGATGAGATTGCAAATATGGCATTAGATTTATTAGAATTGGTTGGTAATTTAAAAATACCTCACAATCCAACCTATGGCTTAAAATTGCGTGCTGGGATTCATTCAGGTAAATAAATTACCGAGTTATTTATCAAACGTATCAAAAGAAAATACTATTGACAGTCGATCATATGTAAGATATTGGTCATCTACGGTATACAGCAGTGATAAATAGGATAGAAGTTGGTAAAAAAATATTGTTAATCTGAAATATTTTTCTCCTTGTTAATAATCGATGAAATTGATGGTGATATTTTACGCCTAGGAGCTTGTGTTGCCGGGGTTATAGGTATGAAAATGCCTCGATATTGTTTATTTGGTGATACAGTTAACAATCTGTCGGTTTTGATTCATAGCCGAACAGTACAAAATTATTTTACAAAAACGAGCTTTTCAGGACAGTTATATGCTATATGCATAATGGGATTATTTGAGAAAGTTTAACACTGTGTAATAATCCATAATTGAGTCTTTTAGAAGGTTAAAGATATTGCAATTTAACGATTGCAATTACTATTGAACTTGATTTTAAGTACTTTTAATTTGAAGTGTGTAAAGCTTCTAATACTATTTTTTACCACTTTAGCTTCTAGAATTCATTGTAGCCAAGCATCTTATGACTTATTATCAAAAACTCGTCAATATGAACTAACACTGAGAGGGGAAATAAACATTAAAGTAAGCCTAATAGCCTATGATATAGTTCCTTTCATGTTAATGATAAGGGCATACATGTACCGGCTTCTGACAATCTCTCCGTTTATACTGTTGTACTGTAAAGATTCAAAATTCCCCGTTATAATCAGGTTAATCATGAACGTTAAAATTCTGCATGGACTGAACTTCCTTCAGCTAGTGATAACACTTAATCTGTCACATAAAATTTTGTCTTTATCACTTTCGCACCGGTTACTGGTCCAAATGTTAATTGCATTATTT